GGTGAACTGAAAACGAAAAATATCAGGTAGACAAATGGGTGTTTTCAGTCCCACTGGTAACGTTTTCAAAAATAGAAAAAACCCTCAGGGTACACAATTTAAAAAAAGATGATGATGCACGCAATGTTGGGAAAAAGTCAAACTCAAATTTTGATAGGAGAAAAAGACTCCAGTGCTATGAATGTGGATCTTTTGACCATTTACGTCCTCAGTGCCATAATTTTAAAACCCAAAAGGCAGATTTGTATCGGATAAGCGGGAGATCAGAGAAGAATCTGTTAGATCCCTATATGTTAAATGGAAGAGTAAATGGTTTTGAAGTACCTATTCTAAGAGATACAGGAGAAACGGTAAATATTATTTGTCAGAAATATGTAGACAGAGATAGAATGAAGGGGGGAACACGTGTGGGTTCGACATTTGCTGGATGATCATATGACTTGTTTACCTGTTGCTGAAGTAGATATTGAATGCGATTTGGGTACAGTAACCACCAAAGCAGCTGTTATAGGAGACCACTTAGACCCAAGGGACGATATATATTAGGCAACCAGACAGCGGCTCTTCTCAGAGGAACTGAGAAAATTATTCGTCGTATGTCGGGAATGTTAATGCGGTCGTTACTCGATCTCAAGCACGACAATTTAAGGAAGCGGAAAATTTAATGTGAGACGAATCAAAATTCTGAGCAGAATGAGTTAGAATTGGAAGAGGAGGACGATGCTCATGAGAGGTCTGAAAACAGAGAGATATTGCCTCCTGTCGACCTTTGTGTCCCCACAAGTCCTGCGATTCAAATTAGACTCAAGTACTTTATTGATGAACAACAAAAAAGTAAAGAACTTGCCCCTTTATTAGAAAACTAGTAAAAAGCGGAAAGTAAAACAAAGTTATGGGATTAAAAATGGGGTTTTAGTAAAAAAGGAAAGTAAATAAGTTAGGAGGAGAAGAACATTTAATTGTTGTTCCAGAAAACCTCAGAGAGCAAATTAAAGCAATTTGTCATGAAGGAACATTCAGGTCACCTTAGGAGTTCTTGAAAACAAAAGACCGGTTACTAAGACATTTTTTCTGGCCAAATTGTTATAAAGACATTGAGGAATTCGTTAAAACATGCGACTCCTGTCAACGTGTAGGAAAAAGCAAGTGACAAAAAGGAAAGCACCGTTGGTAATAGTAAACCTGTGATATCTGAAGTCTTTAGTAAGGTTAATGTTAGATGCTTGCGGGCCTATGCCTACATCTACTGAAGGTAATAAATATCTTATTACAGTTATGTGTTTAGCATCTAAATATCCTGACGCCTTCCCGGTACCGGATATAACGTCGAAATCTGTTGTAAGTGCACTCTTGCAGGTATTTAGTCGGATGGGTTTTCCAAGGGAGGTTCAAACTGATCAAGGAAAATCTTTCGCTTAACCGTTGAATTTTTGAAGAAGTTTGGTATAAAAATTTCCAGAAGTTCTGTTTACCACCCCGAGAGCAATCCTGTGGAATGGGTCCATAGGTCAATAAAAAGAGTCTTAAAGGTATTATGCATTGAAGCTGCCCCAAATTGGGAAGTACAAGTACCTGCCGCTCTCTTTGCTCTGTGGACAGTAACGCATGATAGTACAGGATTTAGGCCAGCTGAATTAGTGTACGGGACCAACCTCAGGACACCTGTCGCATTATTGTATGAGAAATGGTTAGATCCTCAGGAAAAAGAAGATACCGTAATAGAATATGTTTTCGAATTAATCACTAGGTTAAAGAAAAGTAGAGAATTAGCTACAGAGAAAATGGAAGAGGTGAGAGATAAAAGGAAGAAATGGTATGACAAAAATGCCGTGAAAAGGGAATTCCAGCAAGGAGATTCTGTATTAGTATTAGCAGTGAACCAACCCCATAAACTCGCTTCCTCAATGGAAAAGGAGCCGGGGAAAAAATAGAGAAAGATTATCAGAAACAAACTATGTGGTTAGTTTTTGAAGGGAATCAGGAAGGGAATAAAAGCGTATCACATCAATATGTTAAAACCTTATCATAAGAGACCTGAACTTTTTGAATATGGTGCTCTTGACAAATAGTTGACAACGAGGAAGATAGTTGAACCCTCGGAATTAGAGGAGGATTTTCCTTATATGTTAACCGACCCCAATGTGTTTGATTTTAATGAAATAATAGCAAAAGACAATAATCTTAAAGAAAGACTTAGTGATGAACAAATCCTGCAGTTGGGAAAGTTGTTGGTAAAGTTTTCTGCTATATTTTCGAATATTCCAGGGAAAACAAATTTAGTAAAAAATGACGTCGAAGCTAATCAGTGACAAACGCGTACAGCATAAGCCTTACAATATAACAAATCGACAGAACGAACTTCTTAAAGTCGAGATTGAAAAAAATGTTAAAATACAAGATTATTGAACCAGGACCCTCTGAGTATACTTCAACCATGATCCTTGTTGAAGCACCAGGTAGGGATCCTAGGCCGTGTATTGATTACAGAAAGTTAAACGAAATAACGCATACTGAGTTCTACCCAATCCCCAATATATAGCAACGTGTTGAAACTGTTGCAGCAGCCAAATTTATCACCTTGATAGACTTAACTAAAGGTTATTGGTAAATTCCGCTGACCCCTAGGGCTCAGAAAATTGCTGCATTTGCTACAAATTTTGGCGTATATAGGCCTTTGCGAATGCCATTTGGGCTTAAAAATGCTCCTTATTATTTTAGTAAAATGATGAGCGGAATATTGTGCGGATGTGAGAAATATACTACCCCTTATTTAGATGATATTGCTATTTTTTCTGAAACGTGGGAGGAACATTTACAACATTTACATGAAATTTTAGAAAGAATAAGAAAAGCCAATTTAACTATTAAACCGTCTAAGTGCAAGTTTGCACAAGAAGAAGTGCAATATCTCGGTCACATAGTAGGTCGAGGAAAACGTTCTCCAGCAGAACTAAAAATCGCAGCGGTTCAAAATTTTCCTGTTCCCACAACTAAAACTGAGATTAGAGCTGTCTTAGGGTTAGCTGGATACTACAGACAATATATACCTATGTTTTCTGCTATAGCCGCACCTTTGACAGATTTGTTAAAAGGGAATAACAAAAAGGGTAAAATTGTTTGGAATGATGAATGTAATGAATCATTCAAATCGTTAAAAGAAAAGCTATCTAGTAGGCCTGTGCTACATGCACCCGATTTTTCTAAACCATTTATACTACAGACAGATGCATCAGATCAAGGATATGGTGGTGTTTTAGCCCAAAAGGATGATAAAGGAAAAGAACATCCCATATTGTATCTCAGTAAAAAATTTACTAATAGTGAGTGGAAGTATGCAGGTAGAAATGGTCGATTATTACGCTGGGCCTTAGCCTTGCAATCTTATAATTTTATGATACATCATAAAAAGGGAAGTGACAACTTAAATGCAAACTGCTTAAGTAGAAACTCTGTACATGCCAGTTAAATAGACTAGTTATCATTTCTTTTAAAGTTGTCTTGTTATTTGGTTATATATATTGTATATTGTATTTTTTTAAAATTCATACTATATAGTAAATTGTTAGCTTCATATATTCATAAAGACAAAATTTCTGTGTTGGTTTTTCATATAGTGTATATGTATTTTTTTTATGATGGCCTGGTTATGAGAGTGGAGAGCCTTTGTAACAGTGTGGTTTAAAATTAACTGGTAAAATGTTGAACAATCTGTATTGAAACCATAAACTGTGAAGGTTTACTTCTCCTGTGTCCGGAGAAACAAAAACTGGAGGCGGAAAGTGTTTGTTTGTAGCGAATGCCTGCCTGAACTTGTATTTTATCCCGTAGGAACTTAAAAAAAATTTTGTTTCCTCTGTGTCTGAGGAAAACAAAATCTGGAGGCGGAAGGAGTAAGTCTGTAAAGAAAGCTCCTGAACTCTACTAGAAAGACCTGTGATGCTCTTGACTAGAGAGAACGTCGTTAGCAAACTCCTCACACTACGAGTACTATAATTCATTTTAACACCTTATTTAAAGAACTGTGAATGGCAATGACTTAACTGAGAATTACGCATGCGTATAGAGATGAGAGTTCTGTTGAGACACCTGTAAGAGAAGTTTTTGGGAAGCTCCGCCAGCGAGCTGAGGTGTGGAGACTAAATTTGTCCAGTGATGACGAGTGCTATCTTCGTTACGTCTCTGATCGTGTCACCAACTCGGATATGTACTCAAATTTTTCTAAATGTATTAATTAAATGTTGTATCTGTGTTATGTTGTGTAATTAAAGTGATGCATCACCAATACCAGTGTTGATTCCGTTCCCACTGAAGCATCCACGACGTCACATTATATATTTAATCAGTTTATGTTAAATTTTGTTCCCTTTAAGATATGGTACATTGCTAAGTAAATCTGCACAGATGCTATGTACATTAACTATTAATGTTATTTTCATAGCAATTAAAAGTACTTTGATAAATAAAAGCTTTCTCTCCGTACTCAGGATTTTAGAGTGTAACAGTGTATGCAAATAAAAAAAAAAAAATGAATTCTGCAGAGAACATATAGTTTAGAATATCTAATCAAATGGGAACATATTTTATATCAGAATTGAATTACAAATAGTTCAGCAACCTGAATCATGCATTATAAGGTGAATTAATTTCAGTTTGGAATTCCATTAAAATGGTGTCACTGCACAGCGTGAAAGTCTCCTGATTTTCTAGCAAAATTCTGCTGGTTTTTATGATTTTAAGATTTGCAGCTATGGTATCTCTTAGAGTTGTTTAGAAGTGTTGGAATTTTAAGTGGTTTTTATAATTTAATGTAATATTCTTGAGTAAAAAGTTTGGCTTTGTCCAGCTCTGGATTTGAAATATTTCTAAAATCTTGGATATAACTGCTAAATATGGTCTGAAATTTTGATTAATTAAACACATTACACTTTCAGTATTTGAATTAATTCTTTCTATTTATCATACAATATAATTATATTAAAAATTAATGTATTTTATTTCAGGTTAAATATGTTATTAAGTATGAACTTTTACCTTCATATGTACCAAACAATTTGGCAGCACAGATATTATTTGTTGGAGAATATATTTCCATACTTAGGGCAGCTGATGATCCTGATTCATGTAAGCAATCGTAATAAAATTTGTCCTTTTATGTGAGATATGTGTGTATTTATGCATGGTAACCAAAAACGTTCTTACCGTTTCTGACATGACATTGGAAGAGTGAACCCCAACATAAAAATAGTCACCAAACCTTGCGATGAGGTGGTTAGGATGGGAGTCGAGACATTCACCAAGAGTATAAAAGCGCGTTGCATCGGTACTTCATAACTCACACAGCAACTGATTAAAATGAATGTGTTAAAAGCGCTCGTTTGGAGTTGTTTGCTATATGATTTTAAAGTGGGCCTGTCAGCAGCAGAATCAAGTCCCCAAATTTACCAGGCCTTTAGGGATGACACTGTTAATGAATGAACCATTAGGCAATGGTTCCAGAAGTTCACTTCAGGGGGTATGCCTCTTAGTGATGTGGTCGGCCACAAGCACTGGACGATGAGGCCCTGAGAGCAGCCATAGAAAGTGGCAGTAGCCAAACATGTGGTGAGTTTGCTGCACACTTCCAGGTATCTGATGAAATAATCAGACTCCATTTGCACCTCATAGGAAAGGCATACAAGCTGAGCAAGTGGGTACTCCACTCACTGTCCGATGCAAACAAGCAACAGTGTGTCGTTACCTGTTTGTTGCTTACTCGGCACTGCAATGCATCCGTATTTGATGTATTTGATCAAATACTCACTGGCAATGAAAAGTGGGTCTAGTATGACACACTCAGGCATTCTAGACATCGATTATCACCACAGGATCCTATGCCTCACACTCCAAGACTTCTTCACCCACGCAAGATTATGCTCTGTACTAGTTGCCAAGTGGCGCACTAATGAGCTCCTGCCAGTGGGCCAAACAATCACGGCAGGCATGTACTCGCAGCAGTTGGAACATGTTCATCAGGCATGAAAATATATAGATAATAAAGACAATAAAATTTAGATAATAAATGCATTGGTCAACCGTAAGGGTGTACTCCTCCTCCATGACAATGCAAGGCTGCATGTGGCTCGAGAGGCCAGAGACACCATCGACTGGTCTGGGAGACACTACCCCATCCACCATACACCCCAGACCTCGCACTGACAGACTACCTCCTTTTCCATTTCCTGGACAACCATCTTCACGTGAAATCCTTCAACAACTGCCAGACCTCGAAAAGACTTTCACAGACTTCTTTGCATCCAAGACTTCCGAGTTTTACCGCCAGGGCATAGCACAGCTAGCCACTCATTGACAAAAGGCGCTGGATGGCAATGGTGATTACTTTAAGAATTAGCAGTGATTGTTATTTGTTTTATGACTTTTTCTTTCTGATTGTCCAAGGCAGCAAGAACTTTTTGGTTACCTTGTATATGTAAAAGTATGTTATCTAAATTGCTAGAAATGTTTGCTGCAAAAAGAACATCATACAGATAATTTAGTTTTCTGCACCATGTAACTTTTGAATTACTTAGTATATATAAAAGTATATTTAAATTTATTCATAGTAAATTTGCAAACTGCAGTTTAAAAATTGTTAATTGAAAAAAGGAAAAAAATGTAGCAAAATCTGCATTGCACTGTAATACAGGTTATTTCAAACATTTAGGTGCATCAAACATTTCTTTTTCGTGACTCAGTAGTGTGAAAGAGGAAGTATATGTATTGGCAGGGGTGGCCATAAAGCAGCTCGTTAACCGCATGCAGCTCTCAGGCAAGTACTGTGGCTCTTACCCAAATAAAATATATGTATGAAATGTAGAATATTAAAACTACTCAATGAAAAAAAAATACTTAATTTAAATTCTTTCTATTTGAAATCTGTTTCACTACTTTTAAAACTATGTGAATGTGGACTTTGGAAAATCTAGTTGCAGCTCTTGACCTTTCCTGAATTCCAACATATGGCTCTTACTGACATGAAATTTGGCTACTCCTTATTATAGCAAAAGAAATTTGAGAGTTTTTTCACTATGGGAAGAGCAATATGAGAAATCTGATGTGAACACTACATGACTTCCTTGTATGGCATATTAAATTATACATAATTTTTCTGCACTTCATTAAACTTATTTCTTCAAATTAGTTTAATTAACCAGTCTCTCAATGCAAGTTAAAAATGACATCAAGGATTCTAAATTTTGAAATCAAATATCCCAGTAAATTTTTGTTGTATGGGAGTCAAATTTCTAATAATTTTTATTTTTTTCTTAAGTAAAAAAACTTCCCCCAGTATAAGCATAGGAGCCAGGAGATCACATTAAAAGTTGCATTTCATTATTTGAATATGTTGATTTTTTTTTATTTGGCATTGTCAAAACATCAATATTTTTGTCAGTTATAAGACTTGCATAATTAGAAGTATATGACTACAGTTAATGACTGAAAATAAGGCTGGATAAGGAATTTTAAGCCAGGATAGTGGGACAGTGGGTGTGTGTGAAATGATTTTTAAATGCTTAGATGAAAACAGTGGAACTTTTAAGAGCTTAGATACTGCATAGATGACCGAGAATACCATAGTGGATTGAAGGTGGCAGAGTGGAAAGCTTGATGATGCAATTTAGCACAACATATCTTGAAAATTCACAATCTTTATTTTTTTACGCATATCAGATCATTCCTTTTTCAGAATTCCCTAATTATATTTTAATACAGTAAGTTGCATTTTGAAGTACGACATTTTAAGCAAGTAAGCGGCAGCAGCATACGTAAAAAGTATCTTGCCCGCAGGAGAGCTTATGCAGAAAAGGGGAAGAGTTCTAATACTTTCAGAGGAAGAAGGTTGGGAGTGGTAAAGTTCAGAGTTTTGGTTTACAATTAATTTGATTGGACAAGAGGCATCTGCATTAAAACGTTATATAAGATAGAAAAATCTGGAACCTTTGAGAAGAGATGAATTTAGGGGCAGATCACCAAATTTAGAATGTTAATTTTGAGGTCGCCAATTAGTTTTTTGAAACAGCTATCATGTTTTATTATATCTTACATATCCCCTCTTCAAAATAGTGGTTGGATGAGCAAAATGGAAGAACAAGTAGAGCAGCAAAATGTGAAAGATATAATTTTGAAAATACAAAACATATTAACTTTTAAACAAAAACTGTCATCATAAAATATTATGTGATATTTTGACTCAATTTGACATTTCATTGAAAGTCATAAAGTTTTGAATTGAAATATTAATTTTAGTAATGTGTTCTTTTAAAACAATATCATATTTTAGAGTGAGGAAAGAATGTTCAATGAAATATTGTAAAGTTCTTGATAGTTCCACACAGTAAAAGTTCATATTTTTTCACTTTTATTTGAAGTAAATGTCTAAATAAAAGTCTTTCCAATTTTTGTTGATGAAAATAATTTTATTATATTACAAGTTGAGATGCCAACTTTTATGTTATTTCTTAGAATTTCCATAATTATGTTTTCTAAGGAAGGCATTTTAAAATGTAAAAATTTTGTAACGCATCATTTATAAACACAACAAATTTCAAACTTTTCACTATTATTAAGACATTTAAAATATACTTATTCTTTACAAAACTTGAAGACTGCACAACTTTCTTTAAACACTAGCATTTCCATCATATTGTTTTATCAGTTGAGCAAACTAGTGTTTATCCAGTGGCCAAAAGATTTGCCAAATTAGCAGTTACTGTAGGAAAGGCCTCCATTCAGTTGATAAAGGCAACTGGCCTTTTTTGAACTGCTGTCATTCCATTATAAAAGTTAAAGACACACTCTATTTTATGAAAAAATAAAAAAAAAACACTTAGATTTAAAAAATGCTTGATTTCATATGGTGAGAGCCTTCAGCGTTTATCCTGAAAACATTAAAGAAATAGCTACAATTCAAAAATTTTAAACAATAATTTCATTCTCAAAATACACTAAAAATTAAAAAAATATTAATTCAAAGAAATTTAAACAATAGTACAAAAATCTTATTCATTTAGGAACCTTCCCTAAGTAAATCCTTTAAATTCCTTACCTAATTTTTATCTTCAGTATTTTTTTCTTTTCCAATTCAGAAATACAAAACTACATTTTAAATAAATCATAAAATTTTTGAATTATTAACTTTCATTTTAAAATGATTTATGCAAAATATTACCATCAATAAATCATAATACTTTAATAAGTTATGCAAAGTTTTTTCTTCCTTTTTTTGTAACATAATTTACTCATTTTGGAACTTAATACCACTTCACTATCACTTTGATGCCTTTTGATAATACTGCATTCTTTGAACATGAAGAATTTGCCGAATAAAACACTAAACACGCAAAAGAGCACAAAATGCTACTTAGTATTTCACATTTCGCTGTTGAGGTTGCTGACTTTCAAAGCACTTTGGATTTTTAATTTTCTTTTTATACAATGATTGGAAATGAATAAACATTGTGAATATTCGAAGTGAGCGAAAACCGGTATAGTAACCATATTTCACTACATTGGCGGCACTGATCTTGATTCGAAATACTTTTCGATTTTTTAACTTGCAGATACTCGATGATTCAAAGCACTTTTAGAATATGCTGTTAAACCACACACCGGAAACGAATTTGGTGGTTCACTGAAAGTTTGAGGCAGCAGAGTTTGAAGACCATTGGGATTTCCCCGCACAGGTTCAAATCCTGTCGACTCAGTTTTTGTAAATACGAGGCGTATTCGGAAACTAAGTACAGTTTTGAAAAACAATAAAACAGTTTTTTCGAATCCAATTTTATTTTTACATGAAATTACCTGTCTGAAACTATTTTTCAACATAGTTTCTGCCAATGATCAAACACTTGTCATAGCGGTGACCAGTTTTTTGTATACCATCGTCAAAGAAACTTCCCGCCAGTTTTGATAACCACGACTCCACAGCATTTTTCATGTCATCGTCAGATCCAAAGCACTTGCCACCAAGCTCGCTCTTCATGTGCATTAACAAGTGATAATCGGATGGTGCCAAGTCCGGGCTGTACGGCGGGCGATCGAACTGCTCCCAATGAAACTGTCGAATTAACGATTGAGTGACACCA